CCTGCCTGCTGCCGGGGGTGGGGCAGCTGATCACGGCTGTTATCTCCCGGTAATCCCCGGGGCTGCGTCCTTTGGAGAGCGGGTGCCTTGGTGGGGCAGTGGCAGGAAGGGGCGGGGCTTGGGGACAGGAATGGACAGCCCCCCTCCAACCGGCCAGGACTTTCGGGCCAGCTTGTGCCACTGCTCCAGCCAGGGATGGCCCAAGGGCCGGGAGTTTGAGAGTCCTGCTCTCCAAGAAGCTCGCTGCCGGGAGTTGGGAGGTCTCAGGAGAGAGCTGGGAGCTGCAGGTTGTGAGGCTGGAAGTGAGATTCTGCCGGTGTCCTTGTGCACGTGTGGTGCAGGGCAGCTCTGGGCCAGGACTTTCGGGCCAGCTTGTGCCACTGCTCCAGCCAGGGATGGCCCAAGGGCCGGGAGTTTGAGAGTCCTGCTCTCCAAGAAGCTCGCTGCCGGGAGTTGGGAGGTCTCAGGAGAGAGCTGGGAGCTGCAGGTTGTGAGGCTGGAAGTGAGATTCTGCCGGTGTCCTTGTGCACGTGTGGTGCAGGGCAGCTCTGGTCTGGACAGAACGGACCCCTCTGTCGTAGGAGAGGGGCCGAGATTAGCTGCTGGGTTTGCAATGGCAGCGAAGCCTCTCCCTGGGCTTGCCGAGGCGGGAGCGTTTTTGGAATTCTAGAGCAGCCTGATGCCAGCAGCCGTTTGGGTTTCCACAACCACTGGTCCGGCTGCCAGTGAGGATGCTGCAGGTGCTCTTACTTTGGAGCCTGCTGCAGCCAAGGACACAGTCACATGTTCCAGGAGGCCAGTGGCCAGGACAGAGCACAAGGACTCGCCTGCTGTTGGGCTAGTGACCAGCATTTCAGATTCCCCTTACAGGGAAAGCAGTTGTTGTGGAGCGCAGGCCATCCTAGAATCCTGGGGTGGGCGGAGACCTCTGGAGTCATCGAGTCCCGCTCCCTGCCCAAAGCAGGACCGAGCCCAAGTAAATCATCCCAGCCAGGGCTTGGTCAAGTCGTGATTTAAACATCTCTAGGGATGGAGATTCCACCCCCTCCCTCTGGAACCTATTCCAGTGCTTCACCACCCTCCTAATAAAATAGTTTTTCCTAATATTCAACCTAGATCTATCCCACTGCGACTTGAGCCCATTGCTCCTGTCACTACTGAGAACAGCCTCTCTCCAGCCTCTTTGGAACCCCCCTTCAGGAAATTGAAGGCTGCTCTCAAATCCCCCCTCACTCCTCTCTTCTACAGATTAAACAAGCCCAAATCCCTCAGCCTCTCCTTGTAGGTCACATGCTCCAGCCCCCTCATCATTTTGGTTGCCCTCTGCTGGACCCTCTCCAATGCGTCCACATCCTTTCTATAATTGGGGGTCCAGAACTGGATGCAATGCTCCAGATGTGGCCTCACCAGTGCTGAATAAAGGGAAATAATTACTTCTTCAGATCTGCTGTAAATGCTCCTCCTAATGTACCCCAATATGCTGTTTGCCTTTTTGGCTACCAGGGCACCCTGTTAACTCATATCCAGCTTCTCATCCACTGTCATCCCCAGGTCCTTTTCTGCTCCTTAGCCAGTCAGTCCCCAGCCTGTAACAGTACTTGGGATTCTTCCATCTCAAAGGCAGGACTCTGCACTTGTCCTTGTTGAATGTCATCAGAGTTCTTTTGGCCCAATCCTCCAATTTGTCTAGATCACTCTGGACCCAATCCCTGCCCTCCAGTGTATCTACCTCTCCCCCTAGTTTAGTTTCTGAGGTCCAATGCATCCCCTCCTTCAGATAATTAATAAAGATGTTGAACAAAACTGGCCCTAGAACCGATCCTTGGGGCACTCTGCTTGAAACCCACCTCCAACCAGACATCAAGCTGTTGATCACTATCCGTTGGGTCCGACAATCTAGCCAGCTTTCTATCCACCTTACAGTCCATTTTTCCAATCCATACATCCTTAACTTGCTGGCTAGAATATTGTAGGAGATCGTATCAAAAGCTTTGCTTAAGTCAAGGTATATCACATCCACTGACTTCTCCATGTCCACTGAGCCAGTTACCTCATCATAGAAGCTAATCAGATTGGTCAGGCATGACTCGCCCTTAGTGAATCCATGTTGACTATTCCTGATCACTTTCCCCTCTTTCAAGTGCTTCAGAATGGAGTTCCTAAGGATCCCATCCATGGTTTTTCTGGGGACTGAGGTAAGCCTGACTGGTCTGTAGTTCCCTGGATCGTCCTTCTTCCCTTTTTTAAAGATGGGCACTACATTTGCCTTTTTCCAATCATCCGGGATCTCTCCCAATCTCCATGAGTTTTCAAAAATAATGGCCAAAGACTCTGCAATGACATTTGCCAACTCCCTCAGTGCCCTCGGATGCATTAAATCTGGGCCCATGGATCTGTGTATGTCCAGCTTTTCTAAATAGTTCTTACCCCGTTCTTTCTCCACCAACGGCTGCCCACCTCCTTCCCATACTGCGTTGCCTAGTGCAGTAGTCTGGGAGCTGACCTTGTCTGTGAAGATAGAGGCAAAAAAAGCATTGAGTACTTCAGCTTTTCCCACATCATCTGTCACTGGGTTACCGCCCTCATCCAGTAAGGGCCCCACACCCTCTCTGATCACCCTCTTATTGCTAACATGCCTGTAGAAACCTTCCTTGTTATCCTTCCCTTCCCTTTCTAGGTCCCATTCCAATTGTGCTTTGGCCTTTTTGATTGCTCCCCTGCATTCTTGAGCAATATATTTATACTCCTCCCTAGTCATCTGTCCAAGTTTACACTTCTTATAAGCTTCCTTTTTGTGTTTAAGCTCCCCAGGGATTTCCCTGGTAAGCCAATCTGGTCACCTGCCATATTTGCTTTTCTTACTGCACATCAAGATGTTTGTTCCTGTGCCTTCAATGAGATTTCTTTAAAATACTGCTAGCTCTCCTGGACTCCTTTCCCCTTCATCTCCAGGGGTCCTGCCCATTAGCTCTCTGAGGGAGTCAAAATCTGCTTGTCTGAAGTCCAGGGTGTGTATTTTGCTGCTCTCCTTTCTTCCTTTGGTCAGGATGCTGAACTTGACCCTCTCATGATCACTGCTGCCCAGGTTACCACACACATCTCCATCCCCTACTGGTTCCTCCCTGTTTGTGAGCAGCAGGTCAAGCTGCGCACGGCCCCTGGTCGGTTCCTTCAGCACTTGTACCAGGAAGTTGTCCCAACATTCTCCAAAAACTTCCTGGATTGTGTGTCCTCCTGTATTGGTCTCCTAATCATGGTTGCCTGCTGTGATCTCCCAGCAGCCAGGACAGGCAGGCTGCCATCCCGAAGGGCTCAGATCGCTACGTGGCAGCATGGGGGCACCGGGGCGAGATGTAGGCTGGATGTTCAGCCCTGAGGGAATCTGAAGCCTGCAGGACCAGGCTGGGCTAAGAGGAGGGAGTTCTGTGGCTCCCCGTGGGGGCACGGCCTGAGCCAGGGCGTTGTCGCCTCAGAGGGCGCGTCAGGCACAAGCAAGGGAGGGCTGGGGCACTCGCAGTCTGTGCTCACTTTGGAAGCCCTCTGTCAGCTCGACTGCACTGGAATGCTAGGAGGTGCCTGGGAGCTGACCCCCCTAATCTTGCAGTCCCTTCCTCGCCTGCTGGGGCCGGCGCGTTCCTTCGGGGCTGCCCGGGCTGGGGAGGGTGTGAGGGGAACCGTCGGCGAAGTTAAGGCCTGAATCTTGTGGGCTGCTCGAAAGCTCTTGCCCGGGCTGTCTGTGCCTCCCCTCCCATCGCCTTGGCGGCATCTTTTCAGTGGGGCTGCCTCCTGGCTCCAGCTGCCCTGGCTTCTGCCCTTGCTGCTGGTGCTCGCTGGCTCCCCCTGCCCGCCCCCGCCCCGGCGCC